GAATGAATTTGCATTTGACCCTGTCGGTGTTGGGGAGATATTTAAAGGTTTGTGAGGGGAGCAGTAACATCAGATTTGAGCTTTGGAATCATTAATCAGGTAGATTAGTCAAGTAAATTAATCTGGTAATGACACGTCATGCTGATTGAAGGAAACACACCAGGGTCAGATAGACTGGAAGAGATTGCCAAGGTGGAGAATAGAGAAGGTAGAAGAGGCCCACAAACAGCTTATCCTGCTTTGGTCACTTCTTTCCCACAGATCAGTAGTTTTCTTGGTCAGTGTAAAAACTCTTATACAATTCAGCGATGGGTCTAGGGGTCCTAGGAGCATTTTCCCATGTCAATAATTAGTTTCCCCTATTCTCCATTTGAATTGAAATGTTAACTGTAGAGGCATCTGGGTGGTTCAGTGGGTTAAGCCTCTGCCTACAGCACAAGTCATGATCACAGGGTCCTGGGATCGAGCCCCGCATCAGGCTCTCTGCTCAACAGGGAGCCCGCTTCCCTCTCTCTCTCTGCCTGCCTCTCTGCCTACTTACAATCTCTGTCTGTCAAATAAACAAATAAAATCTTCAAAAAAAAAAAAAAAAGGTTAACTGTAAAATATTTTGTTCCTTTATTTCTTGGTAAGCTTTAGCCTACATCCTGTTCCTCTCACTGAAACAAATAGTTCCCTGTAGAAATGTTCCATTATCCATGCTTTCTCTTCTGGCATAGTTGTGACAAGTTCACGTACTACTCCAGCAAGACCTTAGTACTCCACTCCTCTCATCCTCTTCTTGTGTACTTTAAGATGCTTTAAGTAGAGCTCTGTTAATTTTCTCACCTTGAGATTCTGTATATAATCCTTGCTTTTCTTTGATTTTTATCCAATTCTCATTATTACTTTTCTATTCACACTGTATTTGAATTATCCTGCACTTGGGTCTCTCTGTTCTGTTATTTCAGGCCTTTGTCTTCCCTTCTTCCTGAAAGAGCTTTTGCTATTATCACTTCTTAAGTGTATCACACTATTTTTTATAAAATATTTTAGACATACACAGGGAAAAAAATGTATATTTGCTCCCCCTTTTCATGTCAAGATTACTTCCATTTCTTTATATTACAAAAAATAAGATTCTATTAAAGGACGGTCTCTTCTCCTTCGCAGCATACCCATTTTGTTCTTTCTTGCCCTTCTTCCCAACCAAGTTTCTTCGGACTCACTTTCCTCTTTTGTTAAGATGTTTCAAGTTCTTAGCACGCAGAGCTTCATCATAAGTACCCTTCAATCACTCTCCTCCTAAACTGATTGTAAACACTCGGCTTCACATATTATTTTTGGTTACCTCCACTATTACCTTTCCTAAATGTATCTGAAATCCCCTCTCCACACCACTCATCTCAGATATGGAAAAAAACCCTGCATCCTTAAGTAGTTTTTCCTTTCACACTTCTCTCGTGGAGTATATACTTTCACAAATCGGGCCTTTACCTTTCTCAGTTTATATCAGTTCCATCATCACTTATCTTTCCCCACACTCCAGAACCCACAGACCTTGCAAACAACTAAACTGCACATTAAATATCTGTGTGCGTCTCATTGTCCTCCTGTTGACTTCTGTGAAAAGCCCTCCACAAATAATATATTCCCCTGTCTGATTTCAGTTTGTTTATGGTATCTCCACTGAATAAAATGATGCTTCTTTCCAAGTCCAGCATAAGCCTCTTGATTCCTCGGTTTTTGTATGAATATCATCTATTGTCACCTGAGTCCTGGCACTATTTTCTTTCACCTTCCCAACAGCCCCACATGGTAGATTCTGGTAACCTTGATTTACAAATGGGTGTTTTCAGTACACAAAGAGTCACTCAGAAGAGAGGGGATGAGCAGGGTCTGATAGTAACGTCCAGAACTGGAATTAGTGAGTTAAAAAAGGTGAGGAGTTTGCCTAAGCTCCCTGTGCTGGTAAGGTCAGAATTGGTTGGTATTAAACCCAGTTCTATCAGAACCAGCTTTGAGAGTATGAGCCTGAGTGGGATTAACAGGGAGTCAGACTAGGGTGAATAAGAACTTTCTGGAAGACAAGTCAGTTGCAGGCCACCTGAAAGCTCTGCTTTGGTAACAGGATCAAAGGCACTGGAATCTACTATTGCTTAAATTTCTGAAGTCAAGGAGAAACTAGTGTCTTTGTGGATTGGTTTCATTTTCCCTGACATGTGGGGTTTTGGCTCAGCTCCAGCATATCTGCATATGTTGGTACATTAAGAAAAAAAATCTGGTCACACTTTTACCCTTTAAAATTGCAAAAATGTCACCTCTGACTACCTGTCATGTATGGTAAGTAACACTCATTTCAGAAGCACAACTTTTCCCTCAACACCATTTGCCTTCTGTACCTTCTATAGAATGAAAGTTAAAGTATAACCCAAATAATAACCCTGCAATTACTACAGAAAAAAGTACCAGCTATGCTAAAATGAAACTGGGTATTTTTCACTTGGTATTATTATAGAATATATGTGTAGAATATAAAAATAATAATTTGCACTCATCCAACTTCTTTCATTCTGTGTCTCAAATCCCTGAGTATAAGTGGTTTCATTACATTTACCAAACCAATTTAACTCTAGCATGTTCTTGAACTCTCGCTCCAAATCCATTGAGGTTTTCCTGTCACAAATGCTGAGCATTATCATCTGAAATTCTGAGTATTCTGCAGATACCTCTGACCTTCTGCAGATAAAACTCATTTACTTAATCATTTAGTTATGTACTAAAATCAACAAAACCACCACCAAAAGAAAAGAAAAACATTACTATGTATATATAATTAAATCTAGACACACATTTACAGATACACATACACAATAACGGAGTTTATGTATAATTGGATTGAAATGAAAACAGAAAAATGGGAACAAATACGTAGATCTATGGAAACAAAATCCATTGGTTTCTCAAACTCCATTTATTTAGTCAGCAGATGCCGCTCAAATATTAATCTAGGACCCGTCACATTCTAGGGACCATGGAGGATACAAAGATAAATTACTTATAGAAAATAAACAAATGCTGAAGTCATTCTACCATAAGGTAGAGTATGGTAAGTTACGTGAAGATGAGGGCAGCGTATGTATTGTTTGGCTCTGTATCCCCGGTGCTAATATTGCAAACTGGCGTACAATGATGCCAATATGTATTCGATAAATATGTAATGGAAGAATAATGCCCTTACATTCTCTAGAAGCTCAAAGGAAGGTGCAATTACTTCTATCTGCCATGACCCAGAAAGTCTTCCTAAAGGACAACAAAGTAATCCCAGTCTTAAGGGATAGGGTAATGGTTAAAAGTGAGAATAACATGCTAGGCAGAGGCCAATACATAAACACAAAGACAGAGAGGCAGGAGAGTACAAGACAGTCACTAGGAATAAGCAAATCATTCAGTTCGGCAGTCCTGCCCAGGAAATCCACAAGGAGTTATAGACAACACTGAACGGTTAGATTGAAGTCAGACTGCTAAAACCCAGAACTGCCAAGTTAAGAACTCCAGATTTCCTCTTGAAAGAAGCTCTAAATATGTGAATTTAGATACTGATACAACAGCTTTGCTACTTGCCAACTAGTCATTATTCTTGACCCTGACGCTGAAGCTGTCAAGGGGAGTCTTCAGAAGTAGTTCTGAATTATATTACCAGGTGCTCTCTAAGAAAGTCCTCCAGGAAGAAGTCAGCAAAGCCCAGTGGCCCCAAAAGAGAAGATGAAGACGAAGGAAGTGGCACAGACGTTCCTAAAAATAACTAATGTTGGACAGTTTTATCAGTTCCAAGTCTGCTACTAGACACCTGTAATATTTAATGTGGTACTTTGAACACAGATGACTTTAGCTCTAGTCTGCAAAGACCTAACTTAATATACAAGTCTTGAAAGGTGAAAAGGACTCCAAGCCTCTTCAGAGAGCTCTAATGCACCATGAAATATAGCCTCTGTCTAGTGCGAGATGGATTCTCAGAGCAAAATGGCGTAGAGTAGGGATCCTGGAAACACAAAGTTGTTCCATGCAGTCACTACAAGCACAAATGACCATGAACTGTAGAGAAATAAAGGTACAAAATACACGCCTTAAGTAACTTACAATCGAGGTGTGAAAAAAAAGTACTCTTAAGTCCTAGGATATTTGTGTTACCTAGTTTTGGTTTCTCAACTACCTCATGAATTTAATATTACTCTTTCCATTTTACAATTGAGAAAATTAGGGTAAAAGTTTTTAATTAATTTGGCCAAGCCAAACAAGTAGCAGAGCTTGAATCCAAACCCAATTTTTTGTAACTCCAGAGTCTATACTCTTTCTCTTGAGTCATATGGCTTTAGGGCCTAGTTTAGTATATGGGAAACACTATAATATATTAGCTAAAAGCAGGATCCTTAGCGTATGACTGTCTAGATTCTAGATCTTGGCTCCACTTTTTGTTAGCTCTGTGACGTTGTACCTGTTGCTAACTTTTTTGTTCCTCATTTTTCTCAACTGTAAAACGGGGGAATCGGTATTAGAATAACATCCCTACCTTACAGGGTTGTTTTGAAATTTAAATAAAATGATAAAGTGCTTTGAGGAATGGCAGGCCCATAGAAAATTCTCATTTAAGTTAGCTATTATTGGTCAGTGAGACTGTGACCACAGCAATGATTTACACAATTCAATCCACATCTTGATTTGAATGAACAGCCAAAGTCTTCCTTCAACTAAAAAAAAAAAATTCTCTAAAAAATACCGTGCAGTAGATTATTTGAACACAAGGTACACACACACACACACACATACACACACATAGACACACATGTAACGTGATAGCAAAAGTCACGAGAGCTGCATTGTTTTTTGGAAAGACAACTCGAGTTCTAGTAACTTTCCTGACACTGATAAATTTGACTGATTAGCATTTTCGTTATCTGTTTCTTTCCTGCTGGTAAAAACATCCAGATGAGGCGATACATTTCTTTTGTTTACAAACTTACCCAAGAGTGTGGGAGATCCATATCTGTATAAGAAGACTTCAGTTGTGGGTGGTGAGGGCAGCGGAAACAGTTGTTCCTGGGTCCAATTTGGGCAATTGGGAAATCAACACATGTCCAGAGAGGGTTTTCTGGAAAAGGCTTCCAGCTGTTCCACATCTGAACTTCACCTTCGTTGGGGGATAACATTTCTGCTGAATTGCATCCAGTTGAAGTGCTGGATCTAGCCCGTGATGCAGAAATAGAATCCCATCCAATCTCCATTTCTTCCTTTCCTCTTGTGCTAACATTACTAATTTTCTTTTCTGGGGATCTGGCTAATTTCATACAGAAAATCAATGTTTCATCTTCATCTTCTGAATGACAAAGAAAAATAAGAATCTTCTGAATGACAAAGAAAAATAATAATTTTGCACAGGTAGAAATTATGACTATTATATTTCCTTTTATATAGTAGAAATGAACACCACAGGATAAAACAGGAAATCATTTAATTTCACAAAATAATTTACAATTGCAATTCTTTTTTTTTAATAAAATTTTTTAAAGATTTTATTTATTTATTTGACACAGAGAGAGATCGCAAGTAGGCAGAGAAGCAGGCAGAGAGAGAGGGGGAAGCAGGCTCCCTGCTGAGCAGAGAGCCCGATGTGGGGCTTAATCCCAGGACTCTGAGATCATGACCTGAGCTGAAGGCAGAGGCTTAACCCACAGAGCCACCCAGGCACCTCTACAATTGCAGTTCTTTAAAGAGTAATCTTTTGTATAGTAAATGATTTGTTTTGTAAAGACAGATTTACCTCAAATATTTTGAAGCTGTATATAATGATTAAATTCAGTTGGACTACAATGACTGAAAGTCACATGCAAATAGTATACTGAAAAATATTTAAGAAAAATTACAAATTAAAAAAATCCCTATATATATTAACATAATATGGTGTGCTTATATTCTTACATATTTTTTAATTTTTTGAGGTAATGTGTATAGAGAACAGCATAAGGAAGTAAATGAAATATTCTCCTTTCATAAGAAAATGAAATCTCAGTGGACATGGGATGAAATCCTACTGGCATTCTAATTTTTTTCTAATATCAATCTATAAAGAGATTTATGCATACAGTGTTTGTCACAGTGAAATAATTTGGAAAAGGAAGAGCAGGACTGAGAAATCACTAAAAAGAAGGTGTATCTTAAATACTATAAAGTTGATTAGGGAGACCTATATTTACATGTGGTGAAGGGTCTGATGAAATTTCTAGTAATATATAAAACAGTTACAGAAAATAGAAATATGCATTACCCATAGTAAATTGTACCATATCATTTAATCTCTTTCAATTCAAATGTTTAACTGGTATAAACCAAAGATTATGGTCAATTACATATAATTGTAAATAAATAAATGAATATCTATGGGGTAAATACCCAGTAGTGCAATGGCAGGGTCATAGGAAAGCTCTATTTTTAATTTTTTGAGGAATCTTCACACTGTTCTCCAAAGTGGCTGCACCAACTTGCATTCCCACCAACAGTGGAAGAGAGTTCCCCTTTCTCCACATCCTCTCCAACACTTGTTGTTTACTGCCTTGTTAATTTTTGCCATTCTAACTGGTGTAAGGTGGTATCTCAATGTGGTTTTAATTTGAATTTCCCTGATGGAGCCATCAGAAAGGGACTGGAGGAGATTATGCTGAGTAAAATAAGTCAAGCAGAGAGAGTCAATTACATGGTTTCACTTATTTGTGGAACATAAGGAATAACACAGAGGACATTAGGAGAAGGAAAGGAAAAGTGAATTGGGGGAAATCGGAGGGGGAGACAAACCATGGGAGACTGTGGACTCTGAGAAACAAACTGATGGTTTTGGAAGGGAGGGGTCTAGTGGGATGAGTGAGCCTGGTGGTAGGTATTAAGGAGGGCACATATTTCATGGAGCACTGAGTGTCACACGTAAACAATGAATCATGGAACACTACATCAAAAACTAATGATAGGGCACCTGGGTGACTCAGTGGGTTAAAGCCTCTGCCTTCAGCTCAGGTCATGGTCTCAGGGTCCTGGGATTGAGCCCGACATTGGGCTCTCTGCTCAGCAGGGAGCCTGCTTCCCTCCACCCCTGCCTACTTGTGATTTCTCTGTCAAATAAATAAATAAATAAGTCTTTAAAAAACCAACCAAACAAAAACAAACTAATGATGTATTGTATGATGACTAACATAACATAATAAAAAAAATAAATAAATGAACATCTGAGTTGTATGGCATGCCATTTTGCCACACTCAAGTCAAAATTGAAAGATACCATTTCCTTTGGCCAAAGAATGGGGACAGTGGACGGTGCTGACCCTTACTATCTCTTTCTCCCACTCTGTCCCGGAGTCTGGTCTTGAAGGGAAGGAGATACGAGGTATATAAAGGAAAATTCAGGAGTAGGGTAAGGATATCTGTTTCGCAAATAAATTGGTAATTTAAAAACCCTCAACTTTTAATGATTATTTTACGGCCTTATCAAAATGGCCTTCATTTCCTATACGCTACCCCAGTTCTTTCTCGAAGAATGTTTAGCAGCATGCTGACTGCTTACTTACGGAGATTTACGAAGGCAGGTTTCATCTCCTTCAGACTGGGGGCCCTGGCTTTCTTGGCCCAGACTAGTTTCTGTAGTCTCTTTAACGTCCCTGTTGATTCCGCTAGGTCACCTCCTGATTTTACGGCCTAGCACAAACACAGCTCAAGGTAAGGGCAAATTCTTCTTCACAAAAGATTAAATATAAAATGTGTCAAGATCATAAATGTGGGAAAATTCATAATGTGACCTTGAAACTTGTAGCCTGGGACAAATTTTAAGCAATAATTTGAAAGCAGACCATTTTTTGGTCTCAAACTTGTAAAATATATTACAACTGACCAGTTATACTAAAGCAGGGTGTTGCTTTACCCTTTTTTTTTTAACTTCAACATGCTGCAAAATGGATTGAATCTGGAGCCATCTAAAAATGAGTCGCCCGTGCTCAATGTGAAATAGTGGAAAGGAACAAGGTCTTTGCAGGGTAACAAAGAAGGAACGAGAGGTTTAAAGTTGCTTCTTGACAGTGTGGGAACAGACTGATGGAGGCACGCACAAAAAAGCAAAAGTCAGAGTTTTTTGTTTTTCCTTGTGGAAATTTCTGATAAAACAGCATTTTATTTCAAGTACGAAATGTTTTCAAATAAAATCCTTTTCTTTATCTAGCCTTTTGCATTTTAGAAGATAGACACTGAGTAAAACAAACAAACAAACAAACAAACAAACAAACAAAAACAGCCAGGGCATTCTATATTATGCTTTAGTACCTAAGTGTCACTGGTTTATTATAGCAAAAAGAATGGATAGAAGAATTAATACTGCTTAATGCCTCAGATTTCTCTGAAAGATACGGAAACACTTCCCACTAGCTTAAGTTGGCAAATTTGTATTTATACTGTTTTTACTTACTCTATTTAGGATAGCTTACTCTTAACAATTTCAAAATATTGTGGAAATTAATACTTTGTTAAATTGAATACTAATTGGTAAAATAGTTGTATCCTGTGCTGTTAACTATATACGAGGTAATACATAGAGGAATACTTTTCATCCAGAAATCTCTGGGCGCCGACGTATTTCTTCCTGTGGTTTTGCCTCATTCTTTCCATTGAAGAGCTGAGAAATGACATCTGAATAAATACCGCAATTTTCAAAAGGTGAATGACCTGCTCCCTCATTACTGTTTGAATGAGATACAGTGATAATAGTGCTCTCCAATCCTTTGAGAGAAACTAAGCCCAAAGAAATGTTTGCGAGAGAGGATCTCGGGCACACAAACATTTCCAATCATTATTTTCAGCACTTATTCTTGGTCTTGAAGAATGACTTTGAGCAACCAGTATAAACTTGATGTTCTGTCTCTGCATAATAGCACCTAACTAGGAAATGTGACGTTTTGTCAGAGCAAGCCAGACCTGTTTGCATTAAACAAATGGGAAAATATTGAAATCATTTTAATCTTCCATGGAGGCTTGTGATGAGATTTCCTTAGATATGCAAAAATCTTCCCTCTCTTTCCAAAGGTCATGCTCAGCTCCACACAATTTCTATGGCTATTTGTTTTTGTATTATTTTCTTCTGTATTCCTTTTCAGTATTTTCTGACTTACTTGGCTTCCCAGGCGCTGTAACTCATGACGAGTCATTTTCTCATCTTGAGGCCCTTCCAGAAATAATAAGCTGACACTGCACAACCATTGAGCACGGTAATTTTCTTTGTTGTACTTCTTTCATATGGCAACCTCCTCCTATCACAGCTGATGCTTAATTGTTCGGCTGAAACACTGGCATCAGAAATTGCCTTCTCCTTCCCCCTTCTTTGTGAAAATGACTTTCACTTGATACGGGGAAAGGTGTTACAGACCAGGATAACTGAATTTCATATTAATGGTTTGCCCCTAGGAGGAATGAAAGCATTTGTATAATGTCTAAATTCATATAAGTGAGAGCTCATGGCCCAGAGGTGTTAAAACAAACTGACCTCTCATTATTTTGTTCAAACTGTGTTATAGTCTTTTCAAAGCAGAGTCTTGTTAACTCTTGTATCTTTAATCACTCACAGATCTTTGAGTTAATAGAGATCAATCTATTGCATTTTATTCACTTTTGAATCCCATATATCTAGGATAGTACCTGGCTTGGTAAGTCTTTGCTGAATGTACACTCTTGAGTTCATACATATGTTTTATCCACCAAATGGCTTATCCATAGTAAATGTTTTACACTAGACTATTTTCTTTTTTTTTCTTTTATTATTATTTTAAAAGATATTCTTCCATAGTAAGTATTTTATACTAGACTATTTTCTTTTATCATTATTTTAAAAGATAATATTTATTTATTTGATAGAGATAGCAAGAGAGGGAACACAAGCATGGGGGAGTTAGAGAGGGAGAAGCAGGCTCCCCACTGAGCGGGGAGCCCAATGTGGGTCTGGATCTCAGGACCCTGGGATCATGAGCTGAGCCGAAGGTGGATGCTTAACCAACTGAGCCACCCGGGCGCCCTAGGCGGACTACATTCTAATAGCAAAGTATTTCCAAAAAACCTTCTCTTGCTATTAAGGTAGTACATACCTGAGGGATGAAAGAGTAAATATTATAATAAGAGACAATAGAATCATTAAGATGATCTAATTAAAAAGGAACCCTTTAAAAAATAAAAATAAATCCTTTAGAATATTTTCAAAATTATAATGTTATTCACCAGAGTCTTCTAATCTGTTACCTGTGTATTTGTGCTGAATTTGATTAAAACTTATAATAATGTACTTTTTAATTTCTAGATGTTTTCTAAGAAGGCTGACTCATAAATTGAACTCACCATTCAACCAATCAACAAACTTTTATTGAACACCCCACTGTATTCCAGGCACTATCACAACTTTTTCTTTCTTTCTTTTTTTAACTATCACACATTCTGAGGGTATGGCATTGAACAAGTAAAATGAGACCCCTGCTTTCATACGGTCTACATTCCAGAGGGAAGTAGCATACCATCAACATATAATCACATACAGAAGCAAGAAAATTTGACATCTGCTACTCTAACAATTAGCAGCATGACTGAGTGTGGATGGGGGAAGTTACTAATTTACACTGGGTGGGGAGGGGTGGTTTCACTAAGGATACAGAAGCCCAGGCCTGAATTATAAGGAACCGGATGTGAAGATTTGGTGTTTGCTTTGAATTCAGTGCATGGTCAGAGAGGCCATTTCCGGCCCTAAGATCTGAACGACAGAGAAGGGTCAGCTCATCGAAAAGGAGGGGGGAGAGAACTCCTGTGAGGCTCTGTCTTGTGCAGAGGTTCTAAAGCTGAAGGTCCTGGAAGAGTTCTCAGCATTGGCCCAAGGAAGAGAACAGAGGGAAGAACGTGGAAAATCAGCCAGAGACCTGAAGAGGGGCCTCCAAGGAGGCTTTTGTAGAACAGGTTGAGGAACATGTATTTGTTCTAATCAGGGGAGTGACACACTTGGTTTCCATTTTATTCTTCTTGCCTTTTTATTGAATTTTGATCATCTTACTTTTTAAAGGACTTTTCCCCCCAAACATTCAAATATGCTCTGATCTTATCTATCTTTAATTCACCATATTTTATTTACCATTCTTTCTGCTCCCTTTCCCAGGCATACTTCTCGGAAAAGTTTACTGTGTGTGCTTCCCTTAATTCCTCTAATTCTCATCCTTTCAACTCCGTTCACACACCTGTCAATCAGCTTTTGCTTCTACTATTCCATTCAGATTGCTTTTGTTTTCCAATGAACCATTTTCAAACTCCATTACTGCTTGATATGCAGCAAGATTGACCATGATGGTCTGCAGGAAGCACTTTATTTTCTTGGCTTCTCTGGTTTTCCTTTCACCCTTTCCGGCCATTCTTTCTCTAACTCTTATATGCTGATAACTCCTTTTCTCTCAAGACCAAATGCTTCAATTCCTTTATAACTAACTCTGGGCCCTCATCTAATATTACCATCATTCTTTTCTCACCCACACATACGCATACTCGCGCACGCGCGCGCGCGCACACACACACACACACACACTCCATTTAATGCCACTTACATGCTGATGGATGCCCAATTTATTTCTCCAAGGTTTTCATCAGAGCTTCAGACTCAAATATGCAACTGTCTACCTAAAACGACTTCTGGGCACTATCAAGACTGACCTCTACACCCCCAAACATGATTCTCTTCTGGACTTCTTCCACTCGGTAAATGCCATCTTCATCTACCCTCATGCACGTTCTATAAATCAGATTATCACCTTTGCCACATACCTCTCCATTACTAAATTTGGTCTAGTCCCATTACTGAGTTTGGTCTGTCCTCCAGAATATATCTTAAACCTGTTTCTTTTTCACCATTTCCCTTATTACCACCCTAGTTTAATCTTCTCTCATTGAAACTACTGCCAAATCTCTAAATGGTTTTCTTTTTACTTTTGCCTTTCTTCGGCTGATTCACAATATATGCTAGAGTTCTCTTTGAAAGATGTAAATCTGATGATATTACTATCTTGCTTAAATTACTGCAAAATTTCCCAGTGTTCTTTAAATAAAATCCCAAATACTTGATGGAGTCTATAACACCTGTGTCTCTAGACTCTCTTCATACTCACAAGGTGATGACTTTTAGATTACCAATCTCCAGAGCACTTTTTTTCTTCAGTGTTTTTATGTGTGCTGCTCTCTCTGCCTGGAATGCTTATTCTCATTCTCCTAAACTGGTTAATTCTTACTCACCCCTGGGGCTTCATCCTAAATGTCATTTTTTCGGAGAGCTCTTTCCTGACTCCCAAGTCCAAATTAGGTTCCCATTTTTTTACCTTCTTGGCTTTCACCACAACTTCAGATTTATATTTTTGTGTCATTGGTTAAACATCTTCCTTCCCCATAGACTCTAAACTGAAGGAAGGCAGAAACCATAACCTTCTATATAGGTACAATGCAGTATCCTTAGTACCTATAATATTCTTGACAGTTGGTACTCTATATTAATTAGAAGTAATGATACAAAATGTATTAGACGTAATGACACAAAATGATTAGTTAGAAGTAATGATACAAAATGAATGAATGAATAAATGAGGACTTGATCTGGTAATGATGAGAAAAACAGAATTAGGGATTGAGAATGTGAGGAGATA